GGCCCGGGCGCGGGGGAGGAGCCGGAGCCGTAAGAGAGTCTGTAAATTTAAGGCCGGGGACCGATTTGTGGGCGATTTGGGTTTTGCCGCGGTTGGGCCTGTCGGTCAACCTCAAGTCATGCGGCCGCGCCTCACCACTGCAAAGGGCACCCAGTAGCCGATGGGTGCGCTCCTGGCTCCTAGCGAGGCCTGCACTGAGGTGAACAGTCCTCAGGTCAGCATGCTAGCCTGACGGTTCATTATTCCGCTTGATAAAACTGTGCCTGTTTTTCACAGTTCTAAGTTTTCAGTTATTCTTTTGCCTTACTGTGTCTGGCTGGAGTATGCTACTTGCAAATCCTTGCTTCGTCAGCTATACAGTTACCCACTTTTTTAAAAAGTGCTGGTTAGATAAGCTATAGGAGTCGAGCTGAATATCTCTTGCTTACAAAGGCATAATTTTCAGACTTGCCATTCTTGCAGCTCATTTTAATTTTTTTTTTCCTTTGGTACAGATAGGAGGATTGTTACTAGTGGTCTGTCTCTACAGTGTTGCATTTCTCTCTGTTCCGATTTTACATTTCTCCACTTTCAGATGAAAAGATTGTACTCACCTTCCTCGTCACGGCAACACAGCTGAAAACTCCTACGTACCCAGGTGCCACAAGCCTGGTAGGACTGCGTAACCGGGCATTCACTACTTAACAACTCCACTGACACGCAACATCTGCAACCTTCTGGTTTGCCGTGACCAAGAGTTTCCAGTTTTCCTCATGAATACCCTGAGTGGTTTCCAAGGTGCGCTCCCTTAATTTGTAGTCACAATGGCACTCTCCCTGTGATCCTCTCTGATGATCTCCCTTCGTACCTTGCAAAGATGAGCCTGTTACAAAATACTGGTCTTTGGAAATAACACCTGCTTGGTAAGACACTTGATGGCACTTTGACGCTGGCTGCAGTAATAAAAACAACAAACATGACTTGTTGCAAAGAATTTATTAGGTTGTAATAAATAAGAATTTAGCAGAAAGAACTATACAGCAATAAGGCATATTAATACTATTGTTAAATATGCAGCTGACACACATTTTAACATTTTTCTAGTTTTCTAACAAAGTGCTATGTAGAGAAGTGTATTTCTGATACCAGTGCCAGGTGAGATCAAGGATGCACTATGAAGGACCTGACTGTTGCACTGTTTACCTTAAATAAAATATAACAATCCATGAAGATTAACTGTTATTTATGCCAGTGAAGTAGAAAAGTATAGCTTCCTAAGAAGATTACAAAATATGTCTCCTGTTCACTTTTTTTAACTGCTTACTACTTTAATTTCTTAAACTGCACTTAGTAAGGTATGAGTAAAGTTACTACACAACAGCACAGTTCCTAACATTCATTTTAACTTTTATTTGAAAAGTTAGAGGCAAGTGCTAATTTTTTTTTTAAACTTTTTTACAAAATATTGCACACTGTCTTAGCATGCAGTTTACAAGGAAGAAATAGTCAAGTGCACTTAAAACCCTGAAATACAACCAGAAATTTTAAAGATTTGTGTTATGGATACTATTTTAACATACAAGGATATGTTTCAGACTGCATAGGGTCCCACCTTACACTTCAGACCCAACTCATTGAGACCCAGTCCTGACTCCGTAAAGAGCAGGCGTAATGCTCACAAAATGTATCTGAGTTTCTTGCATTATAAATCTTCATTCCTGCATCCTGCACTGCTTGTAGCCTGAAGAAACTGAAGTAATGAGTAGGAAAATTAGTTTAACAGAAATAACTTAGTACCTCCTATATGAGTTTTTGTTACCGCAGATGTGTTGCAATCCAGGGTAAGATTTATTAAACTTTCTGAAGTCCTCTGAGTAAGATTAATTTGTAAATCTGTATCTCCCCCTTCTCCATATACACATTTTATATTGCACAGCAAAAGTAAAAATCCATTTTTTTTAAAAAAACAAGCATGCTAAACATTTAATATGGCTTCTGAATTTATAGTATTTCCCTTTTGACATCCTCATGCAACATTTTAGAATAAATATGAATACAAAGTATGACAAAGTTAAGAGTAAAAATAAAGCCAGCTATAACGTTTGTCAGAAACCAAATAAAACAAGAGTTTATCAAAAGTAGTTGCTCAAAGGTCCAACTGGTCTTTTAAGCATACTTATCAACAGTATCTTAAAAATAGTGCCTACAAAATACTGTAATATATACAACCTCCTTGATGTTCCACAGAATGACACGAAAGGTAAATAGGTTAACTGAACTTGTTTAGTGGCACTGGTAGTCCCATAGTCCTCTGGGAACAAAAGCCTTACTTGATTCATGCTCCTCTAACTCAGTAAACCATTTACATTTCATCAGCTTTACTGGTTAAACTCAAGCCCTACAATAGCTTATATATAAAACACAAAAATATTTATAAAAAGAATAGACATGTTGTATAGTTTTTTTAAAAAAATAAACCATGCAGCTTCTGTACAAAGTTAAAAAACTGTACAAATGGACTTTTCTATTGGGTAAAATTCGTATACATGGAAGTCTTCTGCTGTGTTGAGAAATAAGTTGGTTTTTGCTTAGCCATAAGATGCTGTTTTGTAACTACTGTTCATTTCCATCATTCATTTCTTTCACTTGGCATTAACTGGCCATTTAATTTCATCAAAAGTTTTACGACGAGACCTGCCTATATAAAGGTATACAATTAAATTTTGTCAGCATTTCAGAATTATGACACAATTAACTTAAGTATATGACAAATGCAAGCAGATAGTAAGTTAGAAGTTGCATCATTTTAGAAATAAGGAAAATAAAACCTACATTCTTCTCAGATATCAGAAAGTGTTTTTCAAAAATATTCAATCACTTCCCTTATAACCACCTTAATATATAAGAATCAAAAGCAACTACTGTCGAAGTATGCAAGATACTCAAAGCTGTAGTTTTGTCACAACACATTTTAACATGGCATATTACCGCTGATGCAGACTATGGGTAAAACATGCATTTTCCATCAGACATCCACAAACACTACCAAAAGTTGCTGGTAGCAATTGCAGTGAAGTTGCTTCATAACACTGCCTTCACAGATCCCCAGTTTTATCCAGTCTCAAACTCTGCTAGTTGTGATAGCAAATATCTCTGTGATTCTCATCACATTTGGAATTATCCTTAGAGTCTGAGGGACTGGGCATATGCAACAATTTCAATTAAAAAAAAAAAAGTTTACCCTAATGATTACAGATGCCTTCTATGTATTTTGAATCCTAAAGGCTTCGCATGCTAAGAAAACAAGCAAATATTCTGAAATATTAAAAAGAAAGTTTTAAGATCATTTTTGTAGGGGCTTGGCTTGGGCTTCTTTTATACTGTACAAGGGTGGCCAATCTCAAGAGAGAAGAGGCATGTATCTAGTTTAGGAAAAAATAATTTAACATAAAGGATGAAAAATAACAATGCTTACCTGTTTGGTATGCACAATAAAGCTCATTTTGTTTTCCAGACTGTGGATTTGAAAACATGTATCTCCATCTCCCAGCTGCCACATAAAGCAACCATACTTTAGGCTGAGGAGTAAAGCCTACAATGAAATGTAGGAAACTGTCACTCAGAAAATACTCTCCATACTTATAAACTGAACTTTCCTTAGTTCACTTAGACAGGATTCTGACTTAGAACAGTACATTCCACAATCTAGTTGTAGCTTATAAAGCAGTCCAGTGGAAAAATACAAGGCTTTCTATTAGTAGCACCTTATAAAGATCTTAAAATCTTGGAAGTCGTCACAGTCAAGTTTAACCAAACAGTCAGATGTGAAATGACTACTAGCACAAAGAATTTAAGAGAAAAGAATTAAGCTTAACAGTTATCATTGGCAGTTCACTTAAGCTGACCTTTGTTTCCATGTTGAGGAGGTGCAGCCCTTTTACATTTACTCCTACATACACTTTGATGACTTTATGGCTACTTGAACTTGCTTTGGTGAATATCTGTCCTGTGAAAAAAGCTGCTCCGTAAGTAGGAATTTCCCAGCAATTCTGCAAGAACATGCGCTGAAGGTGATGCATCTCTTTACTTACACCTTCACTGGTGCTAAGATTCTAGAAATAAAGGAACAATGGCAATCAACAAGTATTCCCAAATAGTTGTGGTTATTTGAAGAAAAAACAGTATTTAGTGGAATTCCCACTAAGCTGCTGTTCCCAAAGTGCTTTCCCAGCCACCGTCTGCCTACATCTACATCTAACCACAGAAAGGCTCAAATGCCAAAAGAGTCGGAGGCAGAGAGCAGATGCCTGTACCAGCCTCAGAAATCTGAGCCACAGACAGCTAACCCCTGCAGGGCACCCGAGTTGTGCCCCTCTCAGAAGCATGCACCCATCTGATACTAAATGTATCACCATCCTTAAATCTAAGCATTCTTCCTCCTTTAAGGGGTCCAACCCAGTGAGGCATGGTAAGATGAGCAAGTACCTCCCCCCCAAAATCATGGATTTTTTCTTTTCTGAGCAAAAGAGAGGTGCAGATTTCCTTTCTTTAGTGGAGCCCTCATTCAGAATGAGACAGGCTTCTGCTTCTTCCTCTTCAGTAGAGTGAAACAGTCACAACAAAGGATCATTAGAGTGTTCCCACCTCAAAAGAGACTGATGTAAAGTACCCTAACAAACAAAAAACTTGGCTGGGCCGCACATGAGATGAGAAGGCACAAGAGAACACAAGTCTTCAACAGTGAGGGGGCCATGACTGCGGGTGCGGTGGATGGGACCAACCTCTTTGGATCCACACCCTGCATTACAGCTTATCTGAATTCTACACCACCATTTTAAAAATGTAAAATATATTAATGTTTTTGGAACAAAAGATTGAAACTCCTTTCCCCTTCTCCCATACCCCACACCCCAAAATAATGGCCTAAAAGCAGAACTCCAGAAAGCTATGCTCATTCGTACATATTATCTGCTACAAGAAAGAGTAGAGACTACTCTGCTGTGCCCTCTGCTATACCATCATCTTAGAAATCCCCTCCTTCACCTGTATTACAAAGAACAGGAATGATCTGCTGGTTTCTGACAAAAAAAGGTGTAGGCCAAGAGAAAGTGTATGATTGAGTAACCTTACCTCAAAAGAGGGGCAAGGCCTGGAAACATTCCCTGGGTGCCTCTGCAGTGTTTCCTGCCAGCTACCTTTAGTGATGCATGTTAGCCAGTACAGTTCTGACACACCTCACTTTTTCCACAATTTTTTATGAAGTTCACTAATTTAACCTTCAGGTGCCTCTTACCCCATTTGGAATCCATAGTCCTTCAGTTAGATGTCTTTTACAGAAACAGCCCAGGTCCGCATTTAAAAATTTTGTTCAATTAACTGCTGTAGTCAAAGGGAGTTTGTGTGTGTGCGCACGCGTGCATCAGCAGCACTATCAGATCCCTAACATACAAGTTACACTGGCAAAAAGGACTTTGTGGATCTATCGCTACAAGCAGATGTGAAAATATAAGTCAAAGTCGATTTTTTTACATGTATGCCTGAATTGGCAGTATCCCCAATACACAGTTAACACTGAAGATGAATGAACAGATGTCAATTACATTTACTTCTAACAAACAGATCAACCGTAACTGTACAAGAAAAACAGCATTCCAACAACCCATCCCAAAAATTCAGAACATATACATTTCCAGCTTTATATACCAGTATTTTTGTTCATTAACCGAGAACCAAGCAGTCAAAAAATGTTTAAGACAGGATTTTCTACTATTTGATTATTTATCTCACCTTGTATTCGTGAAGTATCCTGTTTGTCCAGTGAGGAGCTTTACTTTTTAGTTTAGTGATTGGTACTATCGATTTTAGATTTTCTTCACTAAGAGAAAAACAAAGCAGAAAAAAGTTTTTCTTCACTAAACAAAGTAAGGAGAAAAAACAACGTCTGCCAGTTTGTATCTTCGAGTCACATATTGAGCTAGACAGTCAGCTCCTACTCCATCTCGCCTCATCAGGTGAGAAGCATTCCTGAAACATAAGCTAAGGCTTCCTAAGATATAGCGTAATTCTCAGTTAACGGAGATCCAGCTTTGTGTTATACGCTTCGTGTCATGCATCATGGACATGGCACAGAGAGAAAATGCCAGCAGAACACGACTCTTACTTGATTACAGACCAGTTTGGTGAATTCCAGTTCAGAAGCCAAAATGATATACTAACAGTCATTTATACCAGAATATTACATACTCAGAAAAGATGGCAGCTTATAGGTGCTCTTCCCTTCACTCTTGTATTCAGCACCACCAAGGACTTGGCCCATTAATTTCCACATGAAAGTTAGATAGTACATGGTATGAAAGTGAAGCTATGTACATAAAGTGCCTTTAAAAAACCCACAACCAAACAACAAACAGTAAAAGGAAGCCTTTGCTAGTTTGTTTCTACTCACAATTAATCTATGTTGCATTACTAGGTTTTTGACACTATATAGTCATTTTTAAACTATATTGTCAGTAACTGCACATATGATCTACCAATCAAAAACCCTGCACAGGACAATGCATCCAGATCTTTAAGGTGAAGGATACACTCATACAAACAACAGCCTGGATATAATTTTTAAATTACATGTCTTTTGATAAACATTTATGTCTGCTACAAAAAAGTTCAGAATATAAATCTTTTCATCTGTCTGAAGAACAGAGATATTTTCCAATATCTTTGTTTGAGTATGGATGGAAAGCATGCCCAAATGCCTACAAGGCTCTTCTATCTGGCCCAAACTGTCTTTCCAAGTAGTCCTGTCTACAGAGTCAAAACAATTCCATTGAGCATGATGAGGTCATAGCCACATTGCTCATCTGCCCCAGTGTGGAAAGAACACTGCCCTGCAGCTGCTGGGATTCAGCAGGGGCAGTTTCGTATTAAACCCAGTTGCATTTAACTGTACACTCCTGCAGGTGTGGGCAGTCCCACTCAAAACCAATTCTCCTTATGCTCAATCTACCAACTGTGCAACTGCAGGACAAGATGGGTCAACAGCTGAACCTACTGAACAGCGCACCCAAAAGTTTTCCAGTCAGGGAGCTCATTCACTTAGCTTACTCTGTAATGGTACAGTCTCTACACCTAACAGAATGAAGAGATAGGAACAAACAAGCGCAGCCAGTACAGCCAGCCCTTTCAGAGGCAGCCCACATTTACATCAGCGTAACCGTAGCAGAAAATGCACCCTGATTTACTGATGGTGGAGAATACAACAAAAAAAAAAGGCAAGTCAAGACAGCTCAGTTGATGCTGTGAATGAGAGGAGATGAGAAGTATAGCAGCATTCCGGAACAGCACAGCTGCTGTTACATGAATGAATTGAGGTGGAGACGGTAAGGGGTGGAGTGAAGGTGCACACAAGAGAACTGGAATCCTGATGTGCTCAGATACTGCTGTAGAAATGTACGTGGGAGGAAAAAGCCATATCCCGGAACAGCTCAGCTACTGTTGTGCTGGCACGCAGAGAAGGGGAGAGAAAAGCACCATCTGGCAGAGCCCTACTGGTGCTGTGTCTCTGATCAATTTAGTATAGCAGTTCACATACAAATGAGGGAACAGAAATAATGTCTCTGCATGGTCTGTCTTCTTCAAAGAGGGAGGAAAGCCAATCCCAGAAGTTGGTCTAACTGGACACAGTAAGAGGTTTCTTCAGCATTGTCCAAAGTCTCAGTCCTGTCAAAACCCTTCACTCACATGAATACTGTTACTCATTTTGGTATTATTATATGTCAGTATAGACTTACAGAATACAGAACCCCCAGCCCCCTGCCTGGGACTGCAATAATTAAGATTAATATATTTTTCAGACCCCATGTCCAGCTTCTATTAATGCTACGAGGCCTATGTGATTACTCTGAACTAGAGCTCAGTGATGGAGAAAAATAATAAATAAATCATACCTAAAATTTAAGAGTTCCATAATAAGTGCTATCTAAAAATATTTCACCTGAAACCATAATTTTAAGTTTTAAACACACATACTTACTTTAGAAAGCCCTGTTTATGTTTCTTGCTCTCATAATTTCCATAGACTATTTGTAGAAGCAGACTTGCCAGTGTGATCAGCTTGGCATCAGGTGATGTATAGAAACCTTTCAGTAAATTATATCTGGCTTCATCAAAAAGGATAAGAATAGCCAACGGATCCTCAATCTGTTAAAAAGATTTAAATAATATGATTTCTTTGTAAAAAAAAAATGAGCTTAGAAACAATAAATATAATTTCTCACCGATTCAGAGACAGAAGACAAAGGTGTGATCCTGACTGAAGTGTACATTTTAGTAATGCTTTGTAATTGAAAAAAATGACATATTTTTACTGACTTAATTCATTAAGACTTCACTGATCTAACACACTTACAAATTAAAGGTAACTAGCGCATCATGCCCAATCAAAAGGTTCACAGAAGTACTAACATCTGTGGTTTTTTTCCCCCATGAATCCATTTTGAATAATGTTTGAATAATCCCATTAAAATTGACCAATTAAGTATCTGGAAAATCACAGCACAAGGAAGAGAAAGAAAACTGGGCAGGTTGTTTTTAGCTCTATGACAGACAGATAGAGACTGAGGCACATAGACTTATGATAAACCAAACTGTTGGAAAGGTGAGAAATGAGAGAGAGAGAGGGAGGGAGGGAGGGAGGGAAGAACCTGAAGACTCAAACTGTTACAGAAAAGGAGAGGTCCAGTTGAAATAAGTTTGGAAATTACTAGAGTCATTAAACACACTGAATGTTGATGGTCACAGTGTTCTGACTCTGACCATGATTTCATGCTATCACTTCCAGCTGCAGACCTTTTTTTCAATTTCCAGTGGAAGTCTCACATCTCTTCTCAGGAAAAGCTGTGAAGTTTCCCTTTGAGGATCCAAGTTTGTCAGTTCAGTGAATATTTCAGGCCAGTCCCGAATATGCTGCAAAGGCTTGTGGTACGGCTTCAGTTGGAGGCCTGAACAATAAAAGGTTTTGTTTATAAATAAACAGAATAACCCAGCATGCGCGTGCGCGCACACACGCACATATATATATATGATTAAATGCTGCACCAAAACCAGAGTATCTGAAACTGAGGACTCTTTAACAAACATTTTCCGCTATGTTTACTAAATTGCTATATATAAAAGGTTTTCAAAATATGGATTTATTGACAAAACTCTCAGCATCAATTCATTAAATGCACTAGCAACGAACCTTTGTTATTTTCAGCCTCTCAAGAGTGAAGTTGTATTTAAAAATTTAATGGAATACCAAGACAGACCTTATAAACACAATAATAAAACATTAGAGACTGTTGTCTCAATTATTATGACAGAAATAAAGTCCAATAATCTTATATCTGACAGAAAAATACAGATATAGCTTATCTTATAAATGTATTTGCCATTTTTGGATATATATAAACCATAAACTTTTCAGAACAGACTTTTTTTTTTAATCTGTAAAATGTCTTGATTCTTAACAGACTACAGTCATTGAATGTTTCATGTTCTCCTGTGTATATGAGAGCTGAGAAATCAATAGAGAGCTTTCGACTACAGTCCTACTATGTACTAGAGTCCATACCTTCAGTTACGCTCCTTCACTTACCCTGCCTGTTCTTGTGATTATTGCTTGGCTGTTTTCTAGTAGTGAGAAACTAGAAGGCTGTATCTGCCTCATCCTCACTCACTGCTCTGGCTTTTACACTGTGACATTTCTCATTATATGAAAAAACTTCAAAGGACATGTTATAGTGCCACATCTTTTCACTGAGAATAATCTATTAATTCAACTTGCCCACCTTACAGTCAAACACAGAAAAACATTATCTGTCCTACAAACAAGAAAACTATGCTCTTTACAGTTGTACACAAACTGCAAGAAATACATTTTATAATGAAACTTGTCCATTAGCTGTTTGCCATAAATCAGAAGCTGACTAATTTTCAAACTTAGGCTAAATATCTAGAGAATTACTTGTTTTTAAAACAATGTATCAGTGAGCTCTTCCCCTCAAATGCAAGGGTAATACTTCAATGATTTGAGTAAAACATGATATACATATCTCGAGAGGGCAGAAGCAGCAAGACTTCAACACTCAAACACTTCCTTTTCTTCTAGACATTAACTTCTATGTTTAACTGAGGGTTACAGTAGTCATGTGGCATACAGCAAAGTAAAAAGGCAAATGGCATGACACTGGGAAAAAATGATTTAAAGTGAATGAACAAAAGATTTCCTACAATATTTATAGATAAAATTTATATATTAAAAAAAAAAGTAACAATGTCACTGAAGTGGAAGATTGACAACAATAAAGTTTAAAATGCAAGGCTTCCCTGTTAATGGTACTGTCACCACAGTATCCTACCAGACCTGAATTGTGCTTTGTAAATCCATTATAATGGGTCCCATAGCTATCTTGTTGCAGCAGTAGTTTACCATGTTTTCTGACAAAACACAATCACAATCATTGACTCTTTCATGATTCTATTTATCTTTTGCTACCTATCTTAAACTACAACTATAATATACCTTTTATTTAGATCAGAAATACCAAAAAATACAGCAAATGTAATAATGACATTTTGCCTCAGAATTCCCTCCCACTAAATACATCTGAAAACTTGTTTATCAGAAGTCATTTTGGTGCAAAGCACATGAAAACTCATATGATTAAAGGACCTAATGAAAAAACATTAATCAGCTTTGCTTTAATTACGAGTTTTAAATACATTAAACATTGGTAAAAACAACTACATGCATCCAATTTCAGATACTCTGGGAAGAAAAATACCACTAAAATCAGGGTAAGTTAGCAGTAAGGACTATGACAGCAAAGGTGCCCCGTAACAGAAAGGCAATCTGGACTAGCCTCATCTTCCTAGATGAAATACATTCTAAATGCCACAGTGATACAGGGTCAGACATATTGGGGGTACCCAAAATGATGGCTAAAATGGAGAAGCTCTCTATAGCTCTGAAAGCAGAGTTTGGAGACATCAGTTTGTAAAGGCTGGGAGTTGATCTACTGGAGGAAAGCTTAAGCAGAGGAAATGGAAAAATTGGTTTCACTCCCTATGCAAAAGATACAAAGAATGAGACCTACAGGGATTACAGAGTCTCTGGCAGGGGCAAAGTGTATTAACAGTCTAGATACAAATTAACTCCTGAAGGATGGCTTTCAAAAGTTGATAGAAAGCAGTTAATACAGAACTGTCAGAGAGCTTGTTTCCTGTTTTCCTAAGAAAGTATTTTTTTTTCTAAAGGCAAGCAGAAATAAAAAAAACTATGATAAAGTCTCAAGTATAACAATCTTCCTTGTTACTTACTGAGGTTCTCAGAACAGATCCAGATAGTGAAGTACTGCTGAGTTTCTTGAGACAAACGCATCCCCTCCATTATCTGCTGTACAGTAGTATTGTTTCCGTGTTTCAACTCGACAGAGCGGTATGACCCATCCATACGATAAATTCGTGCCTTTTCATACTACATAAAAATTTAAACATATTGAACAAAGAACTTGTTAAAATCCTTTCTGTTGGTGCTTCTGAAGAGAAAAGCAATTTTACCATAATTCAGCAACATCCATACTGTTGAGAAAAAGAACATTGCATATTTACAACTCCTGCATATTTACTATTTATCAAAACTGCTTGTTCCATACTGGAACTGGCTGCCCAGGGAAGTGGTTGAGTCTCCATCCCTGGAGGCATTTAAAAGACGGGTAGACGTGGTACTTGAGGACATGGTTTAGTGGTGGACTTGGCAGTGGTAGGTTAACGGTTGGACTCGATGATCTTAAGGGTCTTTGCCAACCTTAACGATTCTATGATTTCTATGTCCTATGCAAGTTCTTATAGTGTGCTTTTTACCACAATAAGTCCAAGAAAGATCTTACTGATATTTTGAGGACTTCACTCCTGTTGAACTCAAAGGCAAATAAGCATTCAGAAGTTCCCCGAGGGATTTGGGTTTAACTGCCTATGCGCATCCCAAAATGTCCACCTCACTATTACTGGCAGGTTATGAATTATTCCCCTCATTAGTCTATACTAAAAAGACTTATTTTTCAGAGGGAAGCACCACCCTTTACACAGACCTCAGTACAATAAGAATACCATCTCAGTAAGACCTTTTAGCACTTCCATAATATTACTACTAATAAATCATTTTCCTCTTCAGAACTCCCATAGCTTTCACTGAATTGAATGTGGGCCGAGAGTATGCCTCTTGAAAGATGTACTTAAATGTAAATCCGGTGCTTAAAGCATATACGCACAAGCATTAATCAATGAAACCTCTTGTTTTCATGTCTCTAACAGGTTAAATGTTTCAGCTGCTTGAATAAAAAAGTTACAGGAATTTGTTATCTCCCCTCTTCAAATCTACTTAGTCGTCAAGAACTGAGTTCCTAAAAACTTCTGGAAAAAAACATTAATGCCTTGGAAAATGACAACTGACTGAAAATGAGGCTGAAATGGAAAATATCAGTCTATTTTTGCTGCAGTAGTCACTATGACTCCTATTGCAGTAATTTCTATTGGTTTTTTTATTTTGCTGTATTAATTCAATAGCAATAAGTGACAACATAATATCACTTCTTATGCTGTGAAATCTACTTAAAATGTGTGCTTTAGTCTTTTAGAGTCATTAGACACACACCTGCCTTTTGATCAACTGCGTAATAAGATCCCTAAAATGAAGGAGGGAATTATTTTGGAAGATTTATTCATATAGAGTGAAATGAAGATAATTTAAAACATCTTGAAAAATTGACAGATTTACTGCCACCTACCTACAGAGATAACAAGTTGCATCTGAAGTCAAAGAAAGGAAACAAGTGACTTTATATCATCTGGCTAGTTTTAAATCTACTTCAGGATGAGAGGAATCTCATAAATATAGACAGAAAGATTTAAAGAGACAAAATGTCAGTTCATCAATATTTACACCTACAATTTCAGTATACTGCACATTTCCAGTAACAGCTATAAGTGAGCCTAGCCTTCTACAAGTTTATGTGTAAATTAAATATAAACTTTATTCAACTATTTAGAAAATAAACTCATACAGGTTTATTTATGGCTTCCTTCAGCAGTTTTGCAGCTTCTTCCCACTCATTTTGTTTGTTCTCTTCACAGACATTCAGTGGAGATCTTCCTTGTTGATCAGTAATGTGCTACAAACATAAACAGAAACACTGATAATACATTGTTTTCACTGGAGATAGGTGAACATTTACACATTTTTTGAGATCATTAAAATCCTTGATCCTAGAGTTCAAACATTTAATTGATATACAATGGGAAAAGTAGAGGTAATGAAAAACATTTAACCATTTTTTGGTAATCTCTCAACAGGATCATTGTGTTTACACATTGTGATCTGGACACAAAATATTTCACATACACAAGCTAGAAACTGTTGCTAAAACTGCTATTCCTATAGAAAAATAGAACTTACTCTGTCAATTTCTGGATGATTTAATAGAATTTGTACTATTTCAGCATGCCCACCTCCAGCAGCAAAATGAAGAGGAGAGCTAAGTTGGCCGTTCAAAAGATTTGGATTGCATTTGCCTTTCTCCAACAGCATACGAGTGGCTTCAACTTTTCCATACCTGCAGACAGGTTTAAAGGAGAACAGACACAGCAAATGTAAAATAAAATCTTTTTTCAGATAGTCCTAAATATGGAAAAGTATATTTCCATGCTCAAAGAGTTTTTAGCTTTGAAATTACATGAAAGACAATGGATCATTGTTTGTAGAAATTAGTATCAGTTCTGCACTTCTTTGATAACCATTGGTCTAGTAACCATTTATTGGATTCATTACAGACAAACCGTACCTTGCTTTAAACTACCTAGGTTTGGGTAGTTGTAGCAATTCAGTCATGGCAAAATAAAGTTCAGCCTTGCCAGGGAAAAAAAAAAAAAGTGTGAGAATCAGAGTAAAGCTTCTGATTGTCATGCAGGTGGATCCTGACGGCTCTTAAGCCTGACACTGATAACTGGTAAATCTTGTGTACAGTGTTTATGCAAACTTTCTAAGAAACACTAAAAATCAAGTAAGTTGTTTTTTTAAAACCAAGTTTGATTTCCATGTTATTCATATTGTCAGACACTACTACAAATACAGAAGACTAACTTGCATAAAGATAAAACAAAAGCATTTTTACAACAATTGAGGAAAGCTCTCAAGCACTTACAGATTAAACCATCACAGAGTTGTAGTCAGAGTTGAACTCCGTAGATCACCTAGTCCAGCTTCCTACTCAAAGCCTGACCATCACCAAAACATGCTCGGCTCAGCTATGGCTGTGCTGTAAACCTGCTCACAGCCTTTAACCAATAAAGACTGTAAAAGTTACCACACTAAATTAGACTCAGTGTCTTCAACCGGAATTAGAACAGATGCTTCAGGACAAATATAAGAGGCAATAGAATAGTGTTTGATGATATGATCTCCGCACCTGGACTCCTCTGAAACCATTCAGATTGAAATTATTTCAAAACCTGAAGCAATCTTTCTCTTCAGAAGGTTAACACTAACATATATTAGAGTCAAAGTGTAAAAAAGTCTAGATTTTTTTTGATTTCTCATTTTTGAGTCTGTATGATAAATTACAGAAATGATTAGCACTGAAGAATCATGATAGCAAGAATGCATTTAATTGGCAAAACTATTTATCTGACTCACCAGCATGCATAATGGATAGGTGCCCAGTGATCACTATCTAACTGATTAACAGAAAACTTTTTATCCAGAAGGTGGCTTAGTAAATCAGAGTCGCCTTCACAAGCACTGCGGTGAAGAGGGAAATCATCTACCCACTGGTGTTCCCTATGAATTAAAAGGAGAAACAGAGGGAAAACACAGTTCAGAAATATTTCAATAGTTGAGAACATTGACTTTTTTTTAAATTACTAACACAGTACTAACTATAGATCTACATGAAGAATAAAAATGAAGCTCATGCAGCTAAAATGTGACAGTATTCATACAACTAGTATTTTCATCATGCAGTAGTCAAGCCACAGCTGTATTCATTATGCTAAGAAAGGCTTCCCTAATGTTTATAATTTAAACCTTTCTTGATCTGTACTTTAATTGTTGTTTCAGTACTTAGAGACTTCAAATATATTTTTTTTAAATATGTATTTATACAGTAAAGCCTTAAAGTAATAAGAATCTCATTCTGACCAAGTCTACCAAGTACTACTGTAATATAACAAAACAAAATTATCTGTTAAAGAAAAGGGTATGAAACGTAATACTTGTCCTCTGTGACACTGCTCATGCTACGTTGCCACTTTTCTCTTTTAGGAATCTGAATCTTTGAATAGTCTGGCGCTCCAAGGCCAAAGTATGGATTTATTACCACTTTGTCAACCTGTGAAGACAGAATTTAACACAACTGAAAAAATATCTCACTGAGATTTGGCTAAATAATCCCCCATCCAGGCCGGGTATTCTCTTGAAACCCAAGTTACGATAGTAACATTTCATAATTAAAGAGAATGGTGTTCAAGTGTGAGGATTTGAAAAACCATTTAGCAGTAAGTGTGCAATAAAGAAATCTGATTATATTAAACATAAAGCACACACTCATATCAAATAAATGAATGAATTGTAAAATGAAAATGTATGTATGCTTCACAAATATAAAATGAAAATACAATTCTTACCCTATTGGTATACTGAAGGTCAGACCCAAACAAGGGATTATAGATACACATATCTGCTTTCTCCAATGCCAGCATTTTACTCTTTATTTCCAGGGCAGTATAACCCATGTGTAACGAGCTCTCTGTCTGACCAGGTTCTATAGCATAAGCAGGGTTGATTACATTTGTTTTAATTCTCTCAAGAGGAGATGGTCTGAATAAAGCTGGGATGGAGTGAGACTGGGTGTGCCGTTCATCCAACCACCTGCAGGAGAAAAAGGGCAAGTTATTCATTTTCAGGTAGAAAAGGACTATTTTGGTCATGCCTGTCCATTATTTTGTTGGATAAAGGGGTGTATGTATGATAATCACACATTTTGATTAAAAAAATAATATTACTTATAACATGCACAGCCAATTATATAGCACTAAATCCCCAAACATGAAATTTTTTAACCAAATATAGTTAAGCAAATGTTTCATTTAATGCTCAAACACATTTCTTGCGGATGCAAACTCTCAAAGAAAAGGAAATTATAAGCTAAGGTAAGAGTAACATTGGTCATAGCCAAAACACTTAACCACACCAATATGTCACCATTTCGTTTACTTTCAGTTTATCAGTATTACTACTCTCAACATACAAATTTTGAAACTTAAAGCAGTTTGTTTAAGGGTGAGCTGAAGTTTCAGTATCTGTGCTGACTTAAGCCTTCTAACTCATGTGTTTCATTAGGAAGAGGTAGGAAAAGGCAAAAAAATCAGAAGGTCCCTCGGTAGTTTCCAAACTGCCAAGTCTCTTTCATATAGGCTACCACCTGCCTTTTCACAAAGCTGTGCTGAAGGTTATTTTCTTCTAAGTGCACTCCTACTAACAGTACAGAAGGGCTTTAGAGCCCTATTACTCTGAGCTAGAGGGGAAAGTCAGCACTGTACACCTGCTGCATTTTTTCCTGCCACATATGCAATATAACACAGGGCTCAGGATTTTTGGATAAATATATTTTCACTGAACTGCTAAATTATTTTCGTGTTATGTTGATTGGGGCACATTGTAACTAAGGGTCTAAAGCCAGGTTTGTATTTAAGGTTTCTGCACATGCTTTCTCACAAGCTTGAGATAAACACGTACTTTGCTGGAACACAATAAATTCCATTTAGTGATTTAGCCGGGAAATATAGAAAAAAGATAAGTACATCCTTTGGAAAGATAGCTCCACTGACAGACTGCTTGGATCTTGTCTGTCCCAGAACCATGTGTAAGGATGGGAGAACATGGCCTGCAGTTCAATGCATATGCTTAGGCCTGGATTTTTAAGTCCCAGATCCAAGCTATCATGTGCTGCAAAAGCCGTGTTCTCTTCACTTACTTATAGCCCTGCTGGGAAGGAGGACTGTAAAATTGTGATCATCGTGCTGTAAACACCCTCTTGCCTCTCTGAGGTATTTTCAGGGATTTTCTCTAAACACTCGGCAGATAAATTAGTTAGGGCAGCTTGAACCTTTGAAAAGTGTCGTTTCAGATTATGTACATAAGGAATAATCAACATAAACTATTTTCTGCTGTACTTACAAGGCTTCTCTCACAACTGTAAGGCTGGTAAAACATCTTAAGCAGAGCTTAGAGTCTGAAGACACTCAATAAGTAGCAAAAAATGTAACAACTGGCACAATGGTATACATGGAAATATTATGACTCTACTAATAAACTGTAAAAACCCTACACAGGGAACCTTTTTAGGTAATAGCCTGTAACTTAGAATTTTTCACGTTAGCCAGGAGTTTCACCTAACTTTATTAAGGGAAATAAGTTCATACGTAAGTAGGTCCGATATTTCTTTGTTAAGGGTACATGAAAAAAGAACAAAAAACTGCTCACATATTCAATTTTCAAACTACTGTAAAGGTGCCTAAACAACCAATCATCTTTCTGAAAGTTAATTCCCTACTGCAAATAAATTTGTATGGCTGAGGAATATACACTCCCTTTGTAAACGGGGGGTTAATTTAAATGCAAATCATAATGGTATACAATTAACAGGATATTTTTACTCCACTCTGGCAAATACTCTTACAAATGGCAATTATGTCACTTATAGAAGATTAATCATTAGTATTTTATATGATTTTACAAAATCTTCACTGTGAGCAAGAACTTCCAAAAAGCCACTTGATTTATGTAAGCACAACATTCTTCAGTTTGCAAAAAAAATTTAAAAGATTTAGAAATACGTTGTCAAGGTTTCCGTTTCTGATAAACATGAAGAAAATAACATAATATCACAATGATTTCCTTCTTAATCACAAGAATGCTATAAAAACTACGTGCTACATCTACAAATTATCTTGTTTATCTTCTATTTTAATCTATTTTTACTGATGTCATTTCTTACTTATCCAAGGCAATTAACATTCTTGCAGTAAGCGTAGCAAAATGGGTGCTGGATTCACTGCAGACTCTCATGATGTCTTGTAAACAGTAGAACACAGGGCATCCAGGACTGTATGCATATTTCGTATTATCTAAAAAAGAAACATACTCTGAAGACACATCGATGAGAAGAATCATCTTATTTTCCCCTCTACATTTTTTGTAGTTACACACTCCTGAGAGCATATTCTAACTTTAGACTAGAGTAACTTCATTTTTTTTAAATTACATACAATCCTTAAATAACAATTCACAACTCAACAGGGTAGCCTTAAAAAACTTAAAGTGTTCAGTTACTATTCCATCAGTGTGATCGGCTTCATCTGAACAATTAATATTAATTGTATACTGTTGCCAGAAAAAAAAAAAAGAATAGGACTCAGGACTAGAAGAGGTATTTATTGCTATTGGTAACTCCACAATGGTATTCATTTGACAGTTTTTATCCTTAAGGCCTATCAGTAAGGCAAAAATGAAGGAGTTTCCCCAAAAGCACAGAGACATTTACTTCAGGCTTTTTTTAAAAATACTTTCCTGACAAGCAATTTACTTTGCCTTCTAAAGACTTTATTCACCATTCCTTATTCAAACAAAACTGTTAACAGACTTCAGTAAGCATTCTTCTCTGAGCAAATAACACTGAACTGAATAGGATGTCTTACACTTTCATTCAGTAAGTTCTATACAAGTTAATGCACATGTTTTGAAATATAATCAAGTGAACAAATACAGCTTAAAACAGAAGTGTGCTATCATTACAGAAACAAAGGTAATACATTAAAAACAAGGGGGGGGTTTCCTTAATTTTAAGTAACTTTTTCAAGTTTTAAAGTATTCAGAGAGAGGTTGCCACCTGAATGCAACTTTTAATGATCAAATACAGAAAAAGCCATATAACATATTCATAAAAATTCTTAATAAACCCTCAAATGAACTGTTGCTAAAATGGGTGCAACTTCAGAAATTATGCTCAACGTTACCTTTCACAACAGTTGGAACAATGTAAAGCGATGCCTCCTGGCCTGCCTTCTCTCCATCAAGAGGAAACTTCTTCATTAACACTACGCGCTTTCCTAGCACAGTATTAAAAAAACCCCAAATAATTAATTAACCAACAAAAGAAAGAAACAAACAAACAATCTAGAGTTGGCTATCTGAAAGCTTACCAGACTCAATCTTTGTAATTTCTAGGAAGAAAAATTATTATTATTACAAGCTATAATTTAAAGCAAGCTAAGAAAATCTAAATACATATGAAAAAAAGAACATAAGTATGTATATACCCATTAACATGAAAAATTACATGACTGTAGCCCTTTTTTCATAGCAACTTTTCTATATCCCTGATTTTTTGTAGCATTCACCCCCCAAAACCACCTACCTTTAAGTTAAACAAGATTATTTTTGAAATGGGAAACCACAGCTGCATGCTGTATTCCATGTTAAAGTGAATGCCTTATTCATGTAGTGGCAGGACAGTATTTTCCATCTTATCCTCCCTTCCACCCTTACAGAATTCAGCATTTTGTTGCTTTTCTGACCTCAGCTGCGTATTTCAGCAGCGGCCACACTAAACTGTGCATATTAATGTTTGGGCCCTCTGTTTGAGTCAATTTAAAACTCCGTAAACTGTGTAAGACGCAGACAGTTTTTGCTTTTACTAGGCATTCCTCAATGTGTATTAATGCTATTATGTTATTTCATATTTGCTGCTCAACTAGCTTTATTAAGTCCATCCAACTCCAGTTATTGCCACCTGCAACACTTTACCACGCCACCAGCTATTCCTTTTCTAAATTGTTAGTGCTGCATTGTCTTGTCCGCACTGACAACCTTCCCAGTATTACCAGTATACTTAAAAAGCACAGATGAGGTACACGGAAAAAAAAGTGCTTTAGTCAGTATAGTTTATACTAATCTGGAAATGAAATATGCTGGCTAAAACAATTTTTGTCAGCACAAGAGTGAGGTGGTTTGCTAGACCAGCTATGCAACAACAATGAAAAAGAAAATATACTAATGAAATTGTATCTGTAAGTGATACAGTTGTGCCAGAAATATTTTCATGTAGATACTGTCTACTGAACAATGCTGGCTTTAGAACAGACTTTAGAAGCGATCACTTCACTAGTTCAAGTCAAGTTTTAGCTGAAATTAAGGATGAAAAAGCCACTTCAATCTGATTTACCAGAAGTTTAGCTATAAATCTCAATTTGAGGTGAAGTAGTAGTACAGACAGGCAACGTTTCACTTAATAAACATCTTTTAGTAAGCATTTTATAGAGTTGGAACGTAAAGGGAAACAAAGGTAAATTAAAGGTTTTAGCTGTATAGTTGGCTTGGGTTTTTTTGATGAACGTCAAAACATGCCTTCTTTTTTTAAACTAATTTCACGCTCACGCTTTTGCACAGCCTTTCCATGCCCATTAAATTTTTAAAATATTTTTATAGAGCTATCAACAATAAAGCAGATTAAAATGTTTTTACCTTTAATACCTTGATTGGCTGGTGAAATTGGTTTGGTGGCTTCTAATACATAATCCAAGATGCTCTGGGTTATCTCGGTGCCTCCCTGCAGTTTAGTTTCCAATAAAACTTTCTTTCTTTTTTTCTTTTGGCCTTCAATGGGAACTTCAAGCAACAAAATCTTTCAAACAATAATGAAACCAAAAGAGTTTAAGCACAACTGAAACAAGTACAGAACACTTTTTTTTTCCTTTTGTATTTATTGTACCACTGTAAAAGTAGTAACAAAATTCAGGAAGTATTCTATGTGGAGGAGCAGGACGGTGAAGTCAGAATGACCTCCATAACAGTAAGGTTAAAGAGAATAATACAAGGCTGCACCCTTGGACTGAGCAGCCCGCGGGCAAAAGGCCTTGAAATGACATGAAACACACAGATATTACAAAAGCATAAAGTGTTCCAATACCGTAAGGACGGGGCAATGCATAGTAAGTATATGACATACAAAGACATTATTTAAGCAGTATTATTGTCATATTTTCTCTTCTGCTATATTATATATTTACTATAACTTACTATTTTAAAAAATTTTAATAAATAAAAAAATTAAATAGTTTTACTTCATAGGATTTAGCTCGATATTCCCGAGAATTCAGGCTAGCAGTATTTTTTGGACGAATCACAGCAACATATGCATCTCCAATGTTTTCTGGGTTTCCCATCTCTCCTGCTTATGTTGTCACTGGAAACAATGAATAAACAGGAAGTAAAGGTTCCGTTGAAAAAAGAAAAAAAAATCCAACAGCACGTTAAGCTTCAGGATGCAGTAATTATATCCACTGATTCTTTGCATTATTCATTTATTGTTCTTCAACTGGAGAAATACCAATGGCTGATATAATTCTGCTTCCTTTCATGAAAGGGGAGAATCCTACATTGCACAGATTTAATACAAATAATCTCATTCTCTAACCCACTTTTAAAATAAAAATAATGTATATTTTTTCCACTTTGTAACTACCTTCCCCATTTTGCAAGCCAGGCAAAAGGCCGAAGAATTTTAGGACTCTGAAAAATATACGAAATTGAAAAAGAAAACCATTCTCGAGCGACAAGCACTGTAATTTATAAAATGTGCTACGATAAAGTACTGCATTTCTATGAGTTCCACAGGGATTTCAAGAAAATACCTGATTTTCATTCCCCCTGTCCCCCATAGGAAGTAGAACACAGTCTTGCCTACAGCCCAAGTAACAAAACTGATAAAAATGAACTATAATACAGATTAATTTACTTAGTTTTACTTCAGTGGGGCTGCAAACTGGTGTACAATTCATTCAAACACAGAGCTTCTGAAAGGAATACATCTTCAGTTTTTGCAAAAAGTGGACAGAAGTTTTTAGATTTAAGATAAAACTTTGCTCACCCTTCTGTTTAACCCAAAGGGACAATTCCTATAATCATAAAATTTTCTTAAAACGATAGGGAAAACCTCCTAAGGCTAAATCACTTCACGTATCAGACTTGAGAAAGGAGGTCATGTCTGGCCATTAGCACCTTCCAGGTGATCACTTTCTTCATCTGCAAACAAACCCCCTTTCATTCCATATCATCAGTAAGCACATGCTTTTTGCAGATTAATCCCACCACAAAGATTTTTAACTTTACTGTTTCTAGCCTCTTCACCTCTTCTAGGAGAAACGGAGGTCTTCAGATTCCCATGCCCTTAGTCCAGTATTTTTGCTGGGATCAGACTACCTGAAAACATATTAAAAAAAAAACCCAACATAAATAACAGCATGCACATTTTCACTTTCAGTTAGACAAATACATTAGTTAGATGATTTAATGGTGGTACTTGAACAGTAATATCTGAATAGAAACATCTATTGATTTACATTACAGCAGCATCTAGAAACATTAAATAAGGAATGCGCTGACTTGTGAGAGCTCATGCTTTGGGATATTAAATAGTTTTGAAAGGAACAAGAAACAACCATCCCTTATGGGCAGCTGGGAAAGGCATGCTCCCTGGGCTTCCTTACAAGTACTGGGATATACTGGGTTTGGGCCACAGGCTTGTGTGGAGGGAGCCCACACAGGCAGGGCCGGGCCACCTGGGTGGCAGGCAATGGCAGGTGAATAAGCCGTGGGTGACCTCCCTCAGCCAGCACTCCGCACGAAATCCAGAGTGGGGCGCGGATGCCTGGGAAGCAGCCCCGAGAGCTGTGACAGGACTCCAGAAAACAAAACCAGAGGACGAAGCAGAGTGGGGCTGCGAGGATGTGACAACAACGATGACCAGCTGCGACGGCACCGCCAGTGAACTGCCCCTAACCAAATCCAGCTGCCCACAACGCGTCCCCGTCCCGAGGGACGCAGGTCTAGAGCACACGCCACGGCCGGCCTCCTCCC